CCGGTTTAGACGGTTCTTAAACGGTTTGGAGCCTAGACGGCTTAACACCTCAAACCAGACTGGTGTGATGGCCGGTTCCCGGTTAAACCGGTCGAACTGACCGGTCCGGTCCGATTTTGACAACTTTGGTAAAACCTTAAAAGGAGTAAGGGCCCATCACACATCGAATTTTTAAGTGCGTCGGACTCTTGTATTATTGTATAAGAGTAATGGATATGATAATATTTTATAGAAATTGAATAAGCTGAAAGATTATTGGGACGATATAATTTTTTTCATTGAAAAATTACTAATCAAAATATATTATCTTATAGAGAAAAAAAATATTTACATAAATATACAATAAAAAAACTTGTAATTTCTATAGTTTTAAGAAAAAAAATATGTAGAGATTATGTATAAACATAAAATGAATATTAGAAAAAATTGATACTTATGTCTCCACTTAAATAAAGTAAACAAAAGATTGAACATTATGATGTTGAAAATGAAAATAAAAATAAATATAAATTTGAAATAATAAAATGAAGTTTATTACTCCATATTTTTTATGGTATCATTGTTTTTGTTGCAGACTATACTATAACAAAATGATGAAATTTCAACGGAAATATATTACAATGGAATTCAAGCGAAAATCTCAATATATATTTCAATGCTATTATTTCCATTGAAAATTTTTCAATGGATTCCAACGGAAATTTCAACAAGAATATTTCGCTAGAATGAGTTTGCTATTGGAATATCTGTTGGGTTTTGATGAATCCACTGGTAAACTTTTCAACGGTTGAAATATGAGTAGAAATACAAGTTCTAACGAAAATTGCATATTCAAAAAGAAATTCAGACAGTAAAAAACCGCTAAAAAAGTAATCGTTTGATTCAAATTTTATCTAAAATTTCAGTGAAAATTCATTCTAATGAAATATTTTCTATTTTCGTAGGAACCATTTCAACAGAAACTATATCATTGAAATATCCATTAAAAATTTGCTTGAATTATAATACCGTATAATTTTTTGGTTGTAATATGACAATTTTTTGTGTAGTGAATGGGGCAAGTAACTTTAATTTCCACCGTCAATTTCTTGGAAAAGCACACAAATCTATATAAATATAAAAAGGTTTGGTATTTACCTGAAAAAGCAACTGAAATCCCGCCAAAAAATTTCGTTTTTACTTTTATTAGTAACTTTTTCAAAAAAATTTAAAAAATGACGGTCATTTTTTAAAATTCAAAATAAAAAAAATCAACAAAATCATTTTGGTCAAATATTGCGGCTATTACCTTTATTAGTTGTATGGACTAAAATATTTTCAAATCCTAGGATCATGGGAAGATCTATGTGATATTTGTCAATAAGCTAATTTTATTCAAAAGGAAACACCTCTTATAATTTCCATCATTCATGCTTATCATTAATTAATATTGACAGAAGTATTGATAGAAAGAATTATGATTTTAAAAAAAAAATGATTTAAGACTTCTATTTTTTAATAACTAATTCTATCAATTTTTTTTTATTTTTCTTTTTTATAAAAAAAAAAAGTGTGCAATTTTAAGTGAGTCCATTCTATTGATTAGGTTTGTGTATGAAAATATTTTGTTTATGAGATTTCACTGAATACTCAAAGTTTAATATTACCAACAATGTTGGGAACAAATTATTGTGTGGTATTTAAATGATATTTAATTTATTATTCATGTCTAAAATATCTATTTATTTAGATGGGTAAATAATATGTTTTTGTAAAGTGCATAATTAACTAATGCTAAATGATGTTTTTGTAAAGTGCATAATTAACTAATGCACGAATGATATCGCGCATTCATAATTATATATAGCACTACAATTAAGAGCATAAATATCTTCAAATAAAGTTAGCATCATTACTTATTCGGATAACTTGTGATTACCAAGTGAGTAGGAAAATTCTGAATGCAATCTTACTATGGAAGAAAATAAAATATATTTTCCATAAAATATTTACGAATATGTATATATAATATTGAGCTCCTTCATACATTCTTATTTTTTATTTCAGAGTAATGAGGTATATAATTTTTTTTAATGTGTTTTTTATTTAGTATATCAATTAATATATAAAAACGTTGCGTAAAATTTACCTTAAATAATAAGAAAAATCCCGTCTAAAAATTTTAATTTTACAACATTTAATTTTTTTTAATATATTTAAATACTTCCGTATTTGTCATATTATTTTCGTTTGAAATTCAAATCATTTGAAGAAAATGATTCTAATCCAAAATTTTCATTAACAAATCACCATTCACCATATATATCATTTACACTAATAAAGATAATGATTTTTATCCAAATAAAGTAGGTTTCTCAAGAAATCGATAGGTTTCTATTGAGATGGTAACTTTAATTTTCAATCTTAATTCCTAGTCCTTCATTCAGTAAACTTCTTTTTTAGTTTTTTGGAAAGAAGGGGCCTGCTTTCAGAAATCTTGCTTCTTCGATTGAGATGATAACTTTTTTATTTGTTAAATCTGCAGGTTTGTATCAATATATGTAATGTTTTTTATTTATGAAGATTGCTTTGAATAATTTAAGTAAAACAATGACGGAATCTGATATTATATCGTCTTACTTATGTATATCTATTTTATTGCTATTTACTTATATTATATACTTTTTTAAAAAAAATATGGTAATTTTTGAAATTTAACTAATATATGGTTTCAAAATAATGCAAAATTTATCGCAACTATATGCTAATGCATGTGATATTCTATAAGTTGTTTTCTTTTTTTCTTTTTTTNAAGCTGTAATATGCTAATTTAAAATAACATGAGCATCAAACGAATCAACAGTTAATAAAACAAATTAAAAGCGTACGTGCGAAAAATAAAGACACGCAAACTTTGCCGGTCTATTGAGGCGACCAGTGAGGTGAATAATTATTTTCTCTAGGATAAAATTGAGTAGTATAGTGTGGTACTATTTTACGTTTCATACAATGTATGTATCTAGTTTGGGAGATAAATAGCATGGCTTTTTATTGCCAAAATAAGGAAGATTGATTGGACCCGTGGCAGTCTCCGAATGGATTTTTACATGCAACGCAACATGTAGTGGGACACCAGTCCAAACAATCTAATCTGTAGGCAGTGAGACGTTCCACACTGGGTGGTGCGTTATGTTTTTGGGCGGTAAAAACAACTTTTGGTAGGCTTTTCACAAGGAGATTGACACTTGTAGGGAGATTGTCAATGTGAACATCTAGGAGGGATTGACAATGACAATCCCAGGTGATTGGCAGTGACGACCCCTGGTGATTGGCTGTGACAATTCGTACTCTTAGCCTTTTTTGATAATACGATATAAATGTGATGTAAATTTTCTGTTGACGGGACTCCAGGATAACTATTATGTATTGACTCAGATCGACGAAAATCATGTATTACAATGTTTATGATTTGAAATTATTGGACATTTTCATTTTTCATTATAATAATTGATCATAATTTTCATATTAAGCTTCAAATAAATCAGACTTATTTTCATTAATTATTTGAAAATTTTAAGCATGTATGATTTGTTGTATTTATTTAGTTTATATCAATTTTATATTTGATAATATCCGTTAGTTACTAATTAATCTCGATAATTTAGTTATTAAATTTAAAATTTTTGAAATGTATATTAAAATAAAGAGTTAATTTTAATTTCTTTTATTAAAAATTATTGTTTTAAATTTAATTAATACAATATTTTTTTTATTGGAAAAAGTATTTTAGGGTAATNATTATGTTACTATTCTATATTAAGTTTTTAAATTATAAATAGAAATTATTATGTTTTATTATCTTTTTGTTAAAGTAACAAGGTTTGATTCAATTGCGAAAGTATTAAATTTTGTTGGGTAAAAACAACCATTTCATAATGATTAACTATTTTGACTAAGTTATTGTTATATTAAACTATATTTTTTATTTAAAAACACTGACTAAAACAGGTGGAACATAAATGATCCGATCCTATTACTTTTTACTTTTGGAGCTAACAGAGAGACCTTATGAAATCTGGTCATTTAAAATCTCTGATAATACGTACAAATCTGATTCCAATAATAATGATTTTTTTGTCCGTTCTCCACACCCCTGAACTTTTGAATACTATCAGATGTTCTAGAGTGCCGAACCATGAGTTGAATCTTAAGATAGGAACCTCAGTCATGTTGTTGCAGAACATTGACCATTCTATGGTGTTGTGCAAAGATATGAGATTGGTTGTCACAAAGCTCTCCACTCATGCGTGAATGTAATGTATTGACTGAATCTAATGCAGTAAAGAATGTGTTGATATATCGGATGACTCTTACACATTCCGACATTAGGGTTCCTTTCAAATTTCAGCGCAGGCATTTTTTTCTAAAGATTTCTTATGCATGACGATATTAGTGTGCAGTGAGGATGATGTGCCTACAAATCAAACAAAAAATACTGTCTACAAAGAGGTTTTTAATAATATATAATAGTTTTTCTTTTTGTTATATTTATTTTATTTTTTTTATTCACAAATATAATAATAAGACTTGATATATAGCTTGAAAAATGTCAACCCCGTGTATCGCACGGGCTCTACACTAGTTGGACTCTACACTAGTTGAGTAATAAGAAGTCAACAAACATACGTTTTCAACACATGGTAAAACTAGAAATATTTTCAAATCTCAATCACCACGCCGAAAGCAATTTTTTGTATCCTGTCTAGTCTCTATTCAATTTCGTGAAAAAAGCTCACAAATTAAGTAATAAGAAGTCAACATACGCATTGCTTTTAACACATGGTCAAAATAGCAATATTTGCAAATCTCAACTATCACGCCGAAAGAAATTTTTTATGCGGCCTGCACTTTACCCTCTATTCTCTACATAAACTTGAGCAAAGAAGAGAACATACACTTCACATTAATTCCTTTGCAGTCAGTCAAGTCTAGCTCTTTGAAAAAAGAAAAAAAAAAAAAAAATGAGTCATATTCTTGGCCTTGTTGTTCTCTTTCTTTCTCTGTCGCTTGCATTATTCGTTCACGCTGATGATGACGAAGATGTTAGGATTTACATCGTTAGAGTCAATAATAGGATGAAACCATCTGTTTATGCAGAGGTCCAACACTGGTACGAGGCCACCCTTGAAAGCCTCGAAGACTCTTATCCTTCAATAAATTCGAAATCCCAAAAATAGTCATCAAAACTCGTTCATGTTTACCAAACAGTTTTCCATGGCTTCTCCGCTAAACTGAGCCCGCGGCAAGCCCAAGAGCTCGAGAAGCGGCCGTGGGTCATTGCTGTTTTCCCCGACCGAGTTTACAAATTACACACGACGCGGACGCCTTATTTCCTAGACTTATACTGGGATCCTAACTTTAAGGTCGCTTCGCCTTTGTTGAAAAAATCTGATTATGGCTCGAACGCCATCATCGGATTCCTCGACAGCGGTATCAAGCTGGACCCGTCACATGATAATAAATGCCAGCTCGACGGCAATGTTAAATGCCACAATGATATTCCGCGGTGACTGGCCAGCTGGCAGCTCCAGCGGTAGCTTCTTTCTCCTCCAGAGGCCCTAGCAGCATTTCACAGTTTGTTAATAAGCCCGACGTGCTGGCGCCAGGTGTCAACATCTTCGCAGCATGGGCAGAGGGCTTCGAGTTCAAACTGCTCTCCGGCACATCCATGGCATGCGCGCACGTGTCAGGGCTGACTGCTCTCTTGAAGGCAGTCTACCCCGAGTGGTCTCCAGCCATGATCCGCTCAGCCATCATGACCACGGCTAATACCACAGCCAATGACGGCACTCAATAATGAGGATGCCTACGAGTCTATCACCTGGGATATGGGCGCGGGTCACATTAACCCGAGTAATGCCGTTGATCCGGGATTAGTCTTCTCGTTCTCAATTTTGCAACTTAGATTTATTTAGTCATCTGCTACTAAGTTCAGGGTTACACATCACTTCTATCAGATTACACGTTTCAAGTTATTTATATCAACTCATTGCCGCTAATACTCTCTAAATGTCTATGCTGTAATGACCTTAGAAGTATCCAGTTCAGTTCCTAGAGACACACAGTGAAAAAAGAATGGATTAGTAATTATTCCTCTGCCAACATAAAGATGTATTGGGTTCATCTGCTTATCTGACTTAGTGGAGTTTACCAATGGTTGATATATGCATATAGTTAAGAGAACTATTTTTTTTTTTTTTTTATTTTATTTTATTGGGAATTATAGGTGTATTGGTTAGATGAAGGATTATAATTCAGGTCCTAGCTTAGATTTATAAGGTGAGTATGGACTATGTGATGCTGAGGACACTATGATTCAAATATCGTGAAGATGTACAAGCTTTATTTGTAACATTAGAAAAAAAAAGTTATTATTCCGACAAATTTTGCACATTAGGTTCTTTAAAATGTGCTAAAAACTATCACGTATTTATTTGAGTGGATTCTTAGCATTGTTCCCGACAGAGATGTTAACAGTTTATTTTGTTTGATATGTAAGAGGAGTGAAGCACCAGTTCACCAGAGATGCTTGTCATGATTAGAACTAAAACAACATTCAGTATATGGGTTATGAGCTGGTTCTGATGAGTTGGCGTTGGAGAAGACTTATACTTAGGATTTTGTGAATCTACCTGTTGGAAAGAAATCTATCGGGTGCAAATGGGTTTATAAGATCAAGACAAATTCAGATGGTTCTATTGAGCGCTCCAAAACTCGTCTGGTTGCTAAGGGTACTCACAGGAGTACGACATCGATTATGAAGAGACCTTTGCACCGGTTGCTAGTCTTACTACAGTTCAGTGTTTACTTGTTGTTGCTGCTGTTCGTCGATGGTCTCTTCTACAGTTAGATGTTAAGAATGTCTTCTTGTATGGTGCCTTATCTGAGAGGTTTACATGACTCCTCCTCCGGGGTGCTTGTCTTCTGGGAAGGTTTGTCATCTACAACGAGCTTTGTATGGTTTGAAACAAGCGCCTCGTGCCTAGTATGCCATGTTCAGCTCTGCTTTGTTTCAGTTTGATTTCACTACGAGTGATCACAATTCTGCTTTGTTTCTTCGACGCTCCTCATCTGAGATTATTATTTTGCTGTTCTATATTGACGATATGATCATCACAGGAGATGTTGTTACTGGTATTTCCGATTTACAGGACTATCTTCGTCAGCATTCTGAGATGAAGAGTTTGGGTCAGCTTCGCTATTTTTTGGACCTTGAGATTTCTGATTCCTCTGATGGCTTCTATTTGTATCAAGCCAAGTATAGGCATAATAAGTTAACTTATTAATTATTTGATTAGTTTATCAGCTTTTTGTATGCAAATAAACTTAGTTTGGTAGGGCAAGTTTTTTTGAAAAGTTCGATCTTGCTTCTTTGGGTAGCATCTCAAATAAGTTCGTTGAAATCTTTAGTTCAACTGATTTATCAGCTAATTTTACCAAACACGTTAATATTATCTGCTAGCTTTTCAGTAAAAAGTCATAAACTATTAGTTATAAGCTCAGAATTCACTTATAAATTATCAGTTATTTTATTACGGGTTTCGGAGTAAATTACTGGACTAGTCTAAAAGGCAAAGGAGACTAAAGTAGTTAAAGCGTATACTACCCAGGAACGTAGAATATATATATACATGTAGACATATTGTCATTTTGATATTTGGATGGACATAGCCTTTTGAATTTCAATTACATGATTAGATATAGATTATGATTGTATGAGCGTTTTCAATATNAAAACAATATATACAAATATCGTGTAGATACATGAATCGCTAAACACCAATTCCCAAACATAATTCACATACCGTGTTCGCACTTTACATTTTGAATCATAATTTATACTAGTACAGATCCCGTGCGATGCACGGGGTGCACAAAATTAAGGCTATTTATCAAGTTTTATAATTATATAAATGAATAAAGAAAAATGTACAGGATATATATAGTACGTGACCTGTAATAGGCCAAAATGTGAACACGGGTGATGCACGGGGTGCACAATTTTAAGGTCATTTATTAGTACAGAGTCGTGCGATGCACGGGGTGCACAATTTTCTAGTATGTGTAATACAAATATATACCGTATGCACGGGACAGAAGCACTAAATGAGTTATTTCCACATAGCTTGCCGGTTAAGTAGCTCCTGAATACGGGTGCACAATTTGTAGTACGTAATATAAAATCAGAACAGATTTCCATACAATTAGATAATAAATAAAGTCTTTTTATTTTAATAAAGATTTTACGTACTTTTTTTTACTTATCGGATGTTATGAAATTTTTTTTGTTAAACCGATTTTATCGGATATGATACAAATACAATTAGAGGATTACACAAAATCAGAACAGATTTCTATACAATTAGATAATAAGAATGAATTAGATAAGGAAGAAAAGAAATTCAACAAAGAATTTTGAATCTACCTTTTTTTAGTATAGATAGACTTTACGTACAAATTTTGATATCACCGATTTTATAAGATTTGTTTTGACAAAATCAAAGATGAATACTGAAAACTGTTTCTATTAACATTTACAATACTTAAAATATAAATATTCTTTTTAAGTGTGATATATAAATATTAAAAATACTTAAAATATTTTATAACATCTATAAAAGCATCTAAAATATTCTATATTATTCACAAATAATGTTTGAAGCTACCTAAATTTTTCTAAACTACCCGTAAGGAAAATATGTCTAAAAATTCTTCATTTAACCTTCATATATGTATATATATAGAGAGAGAGAGAGAGAGCAAATGTGTAAAAAAAAATTATACAAATAATATTTAAAAGTATCTAAAATATTAGTAATGAGACAGGTGAAATTTACATTTTTAAAAAATCTATATAGATAATGGATTTATAGTAGTAATTAGACTTTTATTTATTTACGTTTAAAGTTGTTACGATAGATGAGGGATGTGATGTTGTTACGATAGATGAGGGATGTGATTTTTTTTATTCGTGCAGATGGAATTTTATAAGCTGGGTTATGAAATTTTCTTAAACTCGTCCATGCGATGAGTTTTTTAAGCTGAGTATATAGATTTAAAATTGTAAAAAAAAAAAACTTTCATAAATCATTTGATTTGGTATTTTCGGAAAGCTTCATTAATTTAAAAGTGTAAAATAAATAAATAAAAAAAAGTACAACTGAAAAAGTTACAACCAATTGTATGGAGAATTAAACTAAATCCAGATGCATTAAATATTGATTAAATTTTATATGTAAAATAAAATAAAAAATAACTGGAATAGTTGTAAGTGTTGCAATATTTTATATTTAAAAAAAAAATAAAAAATCTTCATTTACGTATTGCATACCTACATTTTAGGAACTACATAGATATTCCTAAATTAATATTGCATACCCAATATTTTAGGAACTAACTAAATGCTAATTTGATTTGCATACCAAAAATATTAGATGCATTAATTAAATGATTGATAAAAATAGCAAATCATTAATTAGGGTTGACTATTCTACATACTACATTTAGTAAATAGTACCCCCTTTAATATAAGTATAGATAAACATGAACGCATTCCAAATATGTACCTTCTTTTACCTTCAGTATTTTCTCAATACGTTATTAGTCGCATGAAGATGAATTTAGAGGTGATTGAGAACATTTTACCGAGTACTTGGGGACAAGGGAAAAGAGAAGATGAAGAAGAAGCAACCGAACAAGACTGACCTCTAGAAAAGATGAAGGCCGATTGATCGAATTAATCTTAAATTCAGTTTTCTTCAAATGTGATTGAGATCACAACAAAGGGAGAAAAGATGATTGATCGAATTAAATACAACTGCAATTTAGTAAGAATTTGTGGCTTAACTGAAATATATAAATGTGTTTAGATAAAATAATAATTTAAGAATAATTAAACACCATCTAGATAAATATATTAATAGTTAAATAAAATATTTTATAGTTTTTATAAGGGTAAATTAGTATTTACACAAGGCTTTTTTCTTAATTAATTAATTAAGAATTAGGACACATGACATCAGTTGAATGAGTACATATTGTTATATAGGTACGGGACAAATACAAGACGTACCAGACGGTAGAATGACCCTACTTTGTATATGTGAAAAAATACTTCATAAAAATGGTAAGTATGATATTATTTTACAGTTTTGCTATGGACCCATCGGATGGCTCGACTAACGGAGCCATCCGCACTTATTAACCAATAGTGTATTGACACGTGTTCTACAATAAATACCATTTGGACAGGTGTCAATACATTAAGTGGTGGATGACTCCATAAAAAAATCATCCGATGCGTTTCATAGAATTTTTGTACTTTATAATAGTACTAGATATGCAGATTTATTTTCAAATCTCCGAGATTTTGTTTATTGAATGAAATTGACCTAACCTAATTTGTTTATAAAATATATAATGTGTTTGGTAAACACTATAAGCTACTTATAACTTATTTGGTTAGCTTATAAGCTTCCAGTATGAAAATAAGTTAGTTTGGTAGGACGAGTTTTTTTAATTTTTTTTTTATTATTGTTTTTTATTTTACGTTCGACCGTAGTTTAATAAGCTTCTTTGGTTAGTTTTTCAAATAAGCCCATGGAAATTTTTAATCCAACTCATTAATCAGTCAATTTTACCAAACACGTTTAACTTATTTTTTAGTAAAAAGTAATTCATTTATAAGCTATCAGCTAATTTATATGGGTTCGGAGTAAATTGTTACGCTAGTCTAAAAGGCAGTGAAGACTCAAGTAGTTAAAGAGTATATCTACATCGGAACTTAGAATATACGAC